AATTAAACGAAACTACACGTGAGTAGTACCATAAAAAGTATGAAGATCATTCAAAGGCCTAATAAATATCGCCAAATAATATCTAATACTAAAAAATATCTTATTGTGGATAGGAAATAAAAGAGTGTGGCACAAATAAATATTTTTTAAATATACAACTAAAAGATAAACTATATAAATGATCTACATGACAATGCATAAAAAGTAGTTGTGCAATTACAAAAAAATATATATATTTTAAAACAATTTTTCACAAGTATTCTATAACGCGGAGTCATTCGGTTGCAAAAAACTTAAAAAATGTACGAAACGATCGGACAAAGTTTGGGGGCTGCGTGAAGTTGGCCTTCCGTAATGGATTTTAGCCTATAATTTTTCAATGAGTTATTTGAAAATTCTGAAAATCAATTTGCAATTATTTGCAATTAATTTGCAAAATGTTGGCATAACGATCGGAAGAAGTCAGGGGGCCAACTCCCCGCACACTAGTCTATTTCGGAGTTCAAAGACAAATGATAAATTATAAATTAACGAACCAAAAATCAAACTAAATTAGTAAATAATTTATTACTTCTATTTATCTATAGTAACTTTTAGAAATCAAACACAGAAAAGTAGCTTTGGACTTTATGCAACTTGACTTAACGAATATCATAAAAATAAGTCATACCTATTGTAAATAGTATTAAGAATAATATCAACAATTCCAATTGGTTAACCATTGTATAATGTTCTGACGAAGCTGTACTAACATCACAAGCTGCGACGCGAGAGTATTTGTACGTATAAAATGGTATTTTTATATTATAATTACGATTTTGATTTTAATTTTTATCACGATTTTCCGGTTTTTACATATTTTACGTGGCATTGTTACGATTATAAATCACGAACGGATAGGGAACTGCCACCGTGTGCAGTTAAATAATAACGTTGCGCCTAGTTGAGTCTTGAGTGCCATCCAGATTGTATTTATCAGGACACAATGTTTTTTTACGTGGGTAGTGACTAGGTATCTGATGTCTACGAGAATAATAGAAAAGATTAAATAGCAAATATATAACAAAAATCAAAACGGTTTTTTTCGAACCAAAGACACGTCTTCGATGATAATAATTGTTCGTTGGTCAAATAAAACTCAATGTCAAATCTAGTTCATATAATGAAGTATTAGTTGTAGACGTTATTATGAAACGATGCTCAAACATTTTTTTCTCGGAATGCCAACTGTTTTACAATTATCGTACTCGTTTTAGTTTTACACGTCTTATACTATGGTTAAGTATATGATTTAAAATATTATTGCCCGTTTCGTTTCAAAATAAATGTGTAATATTTGTTCCCTATAACACCAAAATGTAGTTGAATGATGTATACATTTTTATTTAATTATCGAATTTACTTATAAGTCTTGTATTTGTTATTTCCTTGCATTAATCACATACTATCTATGAATATTTTGATTATTTTGTGTTTCTAAGCATACAACTAATTTAAATAAAGACATTCTAAATAAAGAATGCATCACTATTATAATAATGTAATAGTACGGTCATGGCTTACCTTACGAACCGATCATTATCCCGACAGAAAAAAAAAACGAGGACTAACGATCATATCTTTAATTATATTCAAGAATAATGATGCACTTTCTTTATTTCAAATTATTGATATTTTTATATTATACACGAATTTCGTGAGTAAAATAAAGATTCACATGGTTTAAAAATACTAAATATTGATTATTTTTATTCGAGAACGAAAAGTTATGATAAATAATGCAAAAAAAATTAAAAGTCTATCATTCGTGGTAAATGAATACACGTCGATTTAAAATGAAAACAATTTAAATATAACATCGGTTATTTTCAACTTAAATTAAAAAAAAATGCTGCTTTATCCTGGTAATATTATTAAATTTATAAATAGTTTGTTAGCTGCAAGATAATTATACCGCGTACTTGAGCTAATATGAGTAGGTAGGAAAATAGAAGTATCTCGATATCATATAATATCAATAGGTCGCTCATTATTGTCTAGTTTGATTTATTTAAACTATTATTATAACCGCACAAAACTGCTGCTACCATTGTGACTCGTAAATATTATTCACAATCATTGTGGTATTTTTATTATTATAACATAGTATTATAATATTATTAGTGTGTACTATAAGTGGTGCATCACGTAAGCTAAGTATATATAAATTGATTTCTTCACTTCAATGGAAAACGTGTGCGTATTACGAATAGGCGCGAATAAAAACCGTTTCGTGTGTGTGTGTGAATAGACGATTATTTTTTTTTTTTATCATTTTTTCAATAGGTACCTACATTGTTACACAGCAATGTCGGTGATCCGATGTAGGTAATTGAATGGACGGAAAATATTTTTGCGAGAAATTCAGACGCTATGACAGCACTGTGGATTCGTCGTTGTTACGCGTGTAGGTCGACGTATTATGATAGTTGTCTTCGCTTTTAAACGGAGAAATCGAGAAAATACTCAATTCGATCAGTTTTTTAAGTGATAATTAGTAAATAACACAATATACAATCGGCTGCCGTAATAATATTATACACGCTGCAGCGCAGTCATATTGTACGTACTGCGTTGTGAATGAAACTGGACTGTCTGTATAGTGCCATGTTGCGAATTTCTCTGTTCGGCATTTGGAAACCGGCAGTGTAGGTTGTGTAGCGAGTGTAAGCGACGACGACGACGACGACGACGACGACAAAATAAAAATATATAATATTAACGAGATCCGTAAATGTAGAATATTACTGTCGTTTTTTTATCGTTAAGTTAAGACGGTTTTGTTTATCGTTTTTATCGGATCGAAATATTTTTTTCACCCAAGATTTCTATTTCATTAAGATTCTTTGGTCTTTGATATTCGACACAATCCTCGACACGAGTTGCACCTACCTATGTGGAAAATGTATCGACGAAGAGCGCTTGAATGGGTAGACAATGAAGGTTTGGTGTAACACCAGAAGGCGTGCATATAATACCTATGACAAAAATGATAATAAAATACAGCGCCACAGTTAAATTATTATTGTTACGGTCATTATGTCCTGCCTATATTGTAGCACTCACCCTTTTCGCCGTTAAATAAATAAAGTCGATTTCATATAGGTACACTCGAATGATTTGACGATTTTCATGCGGCCGACGCTGTAATGAGTATTTCACTGTTGGAAATAAATTGACTTTTGAATATAGCGAGGATAGTAATAGGTAGTGAGATATACAATAACAAAACACACATACTATTATAGTATTATAATATTATGTTGGTGTGATATTAATATTTCAATCAATTTTTATAACGACTGGAAAATTGAATGCTGATCATTAATAAATAGTTATTTAAATATGTGTCGCAAAGACGTGGCAGGTGCGTATTATACAAAAGTTGGACGAAAATAAAAAAAATACGAAAAACAACCTTTTATGTATGTGCTAAACAATTAAAAATATGTGTATTCCTGATCTACTGGAAGATGATAGTTTATAAAAGTTAGGATATTACGGTAATTTAACGAGTGGCCAAATTAACTAAATTACATTTTTTTTAAACTTTTTACGGTTAACTAATTTAAATATTTTAAAACTTAAATACAGTTGAAATTTCAATATTAAAATAATATTATGTCTTAATCTATTAAAAAGCACCGAGTTCTGATGACGTGTAATTATGTTGGGATCGTTATAATTTTAAAATATTGATTTGGTATAACATACAATTATAAAATTAAAGTGATGGTTATATTTACAAATAAAAATGTATCGAAATAATTACTGTAATGTATTTCTAATTATTTTAATATGTACACCAACATTATGTAAAGAAAATTAAATTTGAGTTCTAAAAAAGCAATGTTAGAAATTTAAAAAAAAGATATAGTTTTTGGATTGTTTTCAAATTTAAATTTCGTATGAGCTAAATTTTAAGATTAAAATATGATCAGACAAAAATAATAATTACATGGAATGTATTTTATGGTGTATTACAGTATAAAGTTAGTTTTTTAATATTTCTATATAGATAAAAATTTAAAAACTATACAAAACCTTAAGCACAGCGTTTATAATACGATATTATTATTGTGATGCCAAAGATGATCAAAATATTATAATATACTACGACAATAATATATAAGCTACCGATGCTCATAGGGTAATCGATTCGAGTTATATACAGGTAGCTAAAATAGCTATTGTATATTATAGTAGTTAGAAGTTACTATATTAAGTACCTACTACGAGTATAATACGCAATACGATATCGTTATACTATACGGCGGCCGACAATAATTATTAAATTAATTGTGGAAATTGATAAAAATAAGACCGAACTAACTTTAGTAGGTGCGTTTATAGGTATTATATTATTATTATGTGATTATACTCCAATAAGACACACACACACTTATTCATCGATATAACTGCACCACGCGTACCTACATCGATCCGTCCTTTGCACCAGCTGTGTAGGTTCTAGCCTTGTAGATATCTCACGCCGAGTTCGATTTGCAGGGAAAAAATCAAAACGAAAATGTCATAGAGATGATACAGGTGGTTCCGCGGACCCGAGCACGCGGTCCGGCGAGCGGTCATAGACTCGACGTGTCCGTCGCGCGCGTGTGTGCGCGGGATAAAAGAGAAAGACACGGGAAAAATAGATAGGAAAACGAAAAGCGTATGAAACAAGAAGCTTATAATATTATTATTATTATTATTGTACATCCGTTTCCGAACCCTATATCGGCCAAGGTTGACACAGTCCGACCGGCTCGTCCAGACGGCGGCCCGTCGGAGTGGCGTGCGCGTACCCCCGCCCGAGTCGCCGCCACTGTGACTCGGTCCGAACGCTCGGCGGCGGCGTCGGCGGCGGCCAGCCGGCACCCCACCAACTCGGTGGCGAGCGCGGTGGCGGTGGCGCGCCAGTCGAATAACAGGCGGAAACGCAGTCGAATAAAAGACAACTGACTCGGCAAACGATAGATCAGTGTAGTCGCTTTTGTTCAGTGGTGAAGAGGTGCACAGTAGTAAAACACTCGCACATTATATTATTCATATTATATCGCAATATCGGCGATAGAATATAAATACTCCGCACTCAAGCACAATCGACGCATTCGAAATGACGAGGAAACTTGTAGTCACGTGCCTGTTTTTGGTGGCGGCACAAGCCGCGTACGCACATCCGACCGCCGAAGATGCTCCTGCCGCCCCCGCAGCCGACGAGGCAGCCGGTCTGGAAAAAGTGTACAAGGTGATGCAGGATTGCTCCGAGAAGAACATGGCCACCTGTTTGAAAATGCGAGCTTTGCAGTACGTCGACCGGGCATTGCGCAAGACCGACAGCATCGAGGTGTTCGATGGCATTTCATTGGTCAAGTCCGAATCCGTTGAGTCCAGCCGAGGCTTGAACGGCCGATCGCTCGCCGAATCCGAGCTCGAAGAAGCACAGCCCAAGGACGATGACGAGAAGGACGCCCAAGTCGAGAACCTCCTGTTGGACCGCGTCGCTCGTTTCCTAGAAAGCCACACCCTCCAACTCAAGGTCCCGGAATCATCCATCTCCGGCATCAGGAGATCTCTCGATGAAGGTAAAACATCATTTTTTTCTATCGATAACTTTACCATTGTACCATCAGATTATCGTTGTACTGATGAACTGGTCAGTGGTCATACCTTGTCAGATTTTGAGACGGAGTCTAGGATATATTATTACGATAACTCCCGAATTACATTTTAATTCAACGATTTTTTCATCAGCGCCCGATTTTTCCTCGATTACGTAATACACTAATACGTTACCTATTATAATAATGTGCTTTCTTAACGATTTGTTTGGGAAAACCGTACTTATATACAATGTACACAAGTATGTGCCTTCTTTAACAAAATAATTATCTGTCCTTATCTACGATATTATGAGCTTTACTTCACAATTCATACCCATATTTTATTTAAAAATGAATTTTTCTCGTTAAAAACTAATTTTGTTTCAAATTATTATATCTTCATCTATTTGTCTCTGTCCATCTTAAATCTATCTGTTTCTGTGTCGGCTTCTCTCTATCTTTCTCTGACGCGATCACAGCCTGCTGGCCGACGTTAGCGTAACCTTCCGGTCACCGTCGTTGGTTATAATATACGCGGTATATAATACCCGTCATGATACACAGACCCCGCGGTACCGCGCACGCGTTCGCGTTTTCTGCCTGTCATCGGGTCGAGATTTTGGCCTCGAGCCTAACTAAAACGTCGGTGCATAATACGGTATTATATACGAATTACACACCCGTCGACAGGCGCATATAAAATAATAATAATAATGAAACGTTAAATCAGTTCGGGTCGCACACCGTTGCCCAGCGTCCTAACAATATAATAATAATAGTACGAATACGAATATAAATATAAATATGTGTGTTACGGACCCGCCGGGCGCGGCTGCACGGTCGCCGGTGGCCCGAAAACCCAAATAGTGCGCCGCTAGGGGGGCCCCCGGTGGGCGTGACGGTGTCATCGCAGCCGGAGAAAGCCGCACGATCCTTTCACTGGAATATCGTTCAGATAAAATAATATATCGCCCGGCGGGCTCGGTACTTAAAGGTTTCGATCGTTTTCGGACAATCGTTATTATTATTATTTTTTTATAATCGCTCCGTTTATTTCTTCCGTCCGTCGGCAGACGACCCTATCCTCGACGGCGAATAAACTCCAATAGTAATACTATAATATTTTATACTAACCATCTTTTGTTTTTTTGTTTCGCAGCCCGTGGCAAGAAGAAGAAGCACCACCTTAAGATGTTGATGCCATTGTTGATGCTGTTGAAGATGAAAGCCATGGCCATCGTCCCGTTGGCTATTGGAGGTCTTGCCCTGCTCGCATTCAAGGCTCTCGTCGTCGGCAAGATCGCCCTCGTCTTGGCCGTCATCATGGGAATCCAAAAGTTGTTGGCCAACAGCAAGAGCCAACAATCGTACGAAGTAGTGTCTCACCCACACTACACCGAGGAACACGGACACGGACACAGCGGTGGATACAGACGGTCCCTGGAAGGTGAAACCGCCCAAGACATGGCGTACCGCGGTCAACACTGACGCAGCCACCGCCAAGCCGCTACCCCCTGTGAACCTTCACCCTTTGTAGCGGGATCCCCGTAGATGTAGTATCACACCCTCGCTCCCCCAGCCATCACCCAACGAGGCGATATTTATTTGTAAATAGTTCAAAAAAACATTCCCCCCCATAGGAACGACATAATTTATTTTAATATTAATTAGTATTTTTTTTTTTATATACATCCGATCGTCTTCTATACCGCGCAATTCGCTTTTCCTTTCTACATCTCAACCCCCAGACCACCACTCTATACTCTACATCGATGACGTGTTTGTGCGCCTACGTTGCAAAATATCATTTTGCTCTCAAGCTCAAATTTATATATGATATTATTATTATACTTCGCGTATAATATATACTATTATATTGTATACGTATCATACACATAGCTAGAGCGACACAGCGTCCGTTCATCGCGCCCGCCACGTACATATATATATACATATATAATTATTATTATACGACATCCGCACTCCGGAGGCGACTGTACACTTCGACGGCGGTCAATAACGGGTTCTGCTTAATCACTTCGGGACAATGATCGCACACAACACATAACAACAACGTTTTACTACCATATACACAACCATATAATAATATACGATTATTATTTACCCCGGGCGGTCGGTTAAAAATACAGAAGTTAACCTAGTGACACACACACACACGCATGTCGTATATGTGTGGTGTGCGTGTGTGAGCGTGTGTGAGCCGCTCGTGTGACGATATAGGTCGGCCGGAGGAGAAGAAAAACAAGAAGAAGAAGAATTATTACAAAAAAATAATAAATAACTATTTCCGTAACTGGTTTTGTCTATAAAACACGAATAGAAATTGTTAGAAATCTATTCTTTCTACTATACCTATATTCATCACGATCACCACTACCACAACCATCGCACTATAGTAACCATAACCACGATTACACACCTGCGACTGCTGCGTTACAACTTTGACCTTATCCACGAGACGACACCGACCGACGAATGGAAGAAATACCTCTATATATACACGTTTGGGACTAGTATTTTCTTCTTTCACGTCTAATACCTAATAACACACACATACTTGCTAAAAAACTAGTACGATGACTTACCACTTGGCTGCTGTAGCTCTTTCCGATCTTTCAAACCAGTAATATATACATACCTATTTTGCTGCTGGCCAAACACTTAATGCTCTTTTCACTTGACCGGAAATATAATTGTTGCTCACAAACCATAATACGTTGTTATATGATTTATTTTATTTTATATTGTTGTACATTGTGTCATGTTTTTTATATCTTTTTTTATTTTAATACTTTTTGTGTGTACATCGAAGACTACCTATTTATTACGTATTTTAATAAAACCGATTTGTTTGTAATAAAAATTTACTTCTTTTTTTCTAAGCTCAGCTCTACACGACTTGACTCGACTTGACTGGACTAGACTCGACTTGACTTGACTGGAATTCACTTGACTTGCCTCGATTTAATACTCGATTTGACTTAACTACACTTGACTATACCTCACTCGAATGTGCCATCGTCCACCCCCGCTCAAATAACATAATAACCATAGTACCTGTAGTCCACTTGAAGAAATAAATATAATATTCCGACTGTTATTAATTTATTCGACTTTTAATTATTATTATTTATTTTATTTTATTTGATGAAATAAACTTATTGATTTTTAAAGCGATTGTCATATTTTCTGATACATTGGACTGCTTTAACTCCTGTCAAACTCTGCACCCTAAATAGTGTTTAAGGTGTACACGTGTTACATCAACAAATGTTTTACATCCCGTACAAATTTTAGATCTATCGTTAAAAAAAAAACTCTGTGCATCAAATAAGCGTTACGAACATACGTAACTATACGCACTCAACTTGTTTCTGAAAACCGGTTTGGCGTTCGCCGTCATGCTAATGAATTAATAAACATATAATTTTTTTTTTTTCATCAATGGCCAACACAAATTATTACGAGTATTAACACTAATTGAAATATCTGAGCGATACTTCACCCATACCGCCGTTTATATAATATGTAATATAAATAGTTGGGGCTGTACTCCTTTCCCACTTAAGAAAAAAAAGAAATCTGATTGCGGTGAATGAAAAATAAAATCGTGTCGTAGCGCTCACAAGTTGTATACTTAAACACACACAGACACACACCGTAGTCATGTTTTTGATAAATTCATCGTGTGAATCACAGCTCCAGCTTATCCGTTGACGAGATATACTACACGATTTTATGTTTATTTAACCACACATTTCTATGTGTTTAGCATATAAAACGTAAACGTTTTGATACACGTCGTGTGCTACGGTAATAATTTGATATTATATTACTGCAGAGTGCAGATTGTACTACAGTATTATTCTCTATTGAACACAATGAGCCCCCTTCACTTTTTGTTGTTGTATTTTTTTTTAATTGCCGTTGGATTTATAATACGTAATTTATGCGACGGAATATTTCGAACTGTTTCGTATAAAAAGTTCTTCTCCTTTTTCATCGTATAAACGAGTTAGGCATACCTATTATTATTACCAACAAGGGTCATTGTTAGAAACGCAAGCCGCGATTCCTGGAAAAGAATACAGCTGACTTTATGAATAAATTGACCAGAGACCGACGTCCTACAAGCATCGATAATATATTATTATACTTTTTAAATAATGAAATTCTCTGGCTTTAGATCGTATCATTTCGTTTATTCGTGCAAGATATAATGAATGCCTACTGTTACGGACAATAAATCCGAAGTTAATGTACCTACGCATAACTATGGAGAGACCTATATACAATTGCGTTATTAGACTATATACATACCTATTTGGTAGTTAATAAAATAATATTATTATTGTGCTGATCACTTAAACAGCCTACCTTTATCCAATCCTAGTTTGAAAATATTCGATATGCTCATTACATAAAAACAATACGTATAATTCTTTATAACGTTATTATCAGAAGAAAACTTTCGTTATGTTAAATGCGAGTGTTTTCCCGCAGTGAAGCGGAAAACTGAAGATTTCTAAAGTGTGTACTTAATTCAAGCCAGATTTATTTCAAATTGTTATATTTTTATTTCGATTATCTAAATACTATTGGTTTTATATAGAACGACTCTTGTGCAGTCAACACGCGTTCAAACCCGCGGAGCGCTTAGTTATTATATAGTCGTCGATCATTCCTACGAACAATTTCTAAGCACCGTTTTGATTGCTCCGAAGTTAATTACAGACCCTGCTATTTAGAAAGTGTGTGATCAATCTCATTATTACGAGGAGAAAAATCTAAATCTAAACCAGCAGGCAGGTGGGAGCATGCGCAGGTTAGTACCTGTCCTACGTAATAATATACATATACCAAGTATGTGGTATATACCTGCTGCAGCCGTTAACCTCGACTTTGTACAACTGCAAGTCGCATTGTGGCAACGATTAATGTAATATATTAGATCGGACTAAATCTGTTCGTAATATTATTATAAGCGCCGAAGTCTGAAATCATACGAGTATACGACTGAGTTTAGTCCGGTACAGTCGGTTAAGGAGAGGAAGTAAAATAATTAAAACCTGTCTGTGAGACCCCAAAACGGTCGCCGCCCGGAATAATATATTATTTTAAAGCCAGCGGCACCTTTTAAATTACGCGATGCTAATAAAAATAATATAATATTTTAATGTGTATAGCGTTTACACTACTGCGCGACAAGTCACGGAACACGCAGTTTTTTTTTATAATAAATAATGTTATTTATACATATACATAATATACACGTGCTACGGGTGCCGTATAATAGACGTATCCTCCTCCTCTTCCTGCAGCATTATCGGTGATTCATCGTACAGCAGGTCTCGTATTAATGACTTTGTCCAAACTCCCGGCGTATACGTATAGGTAAAAATTAATTATATTCCTCAATATTATTATGAAGGTATTCTCTGACAATCGCGCCCGCAACGGTAATATTGTTACTAACGTAGATCATATATTAAACCTAATAATATATTCGTCGGGGCCCGCGGCCGTGTCGTCCTCCGCGTTGAGGGAAAACGGTTCCTGGAAAAAATATCTCCCGAAAAACTATCACTGAAGAAAAAAGTAATAATATCTGATATGATATGTAGAAAAAACTAGGCAGAAGGTCAAACGGTGAGCTCCCAGGAGATATGCCTATATATGCGACGATATTTTAATAGTGTATGCTATAGGATATCCACGAGCTTTGGGATAAACAAAACAACTTTTTTATTTTATTTTATTTTTATCGTTTCAACACAACGAATCGTACAATAAATACAAAGGATGAACTTAGAAACCTTTTTTTTGGTGGTGGTCCATTTGGTCTTGTAGGAAGATCGTAGTATTGTGGTAGGCTCTCAACTTAACTCTGGTGAGCTCAAATTCTACCTATATATGTTTTAAATATTTTATACACACATTTTAGGTTTTATGTTGTAGAAGATCAGTGGTCTTCAAACTTTTTTTTTCACGTACCACTCATGGGTATTATTAATCTGTCGCTTACCACTTATATCTATTTCCATGTGCCCATATTTAAATACAATTTTAAATATTCATTTATTTACTCCCCGTTCCATCAATATGTGGCCTTTGGCGTACCAATATGTAGTCTTCCGCGTACCACTAGTGGTACGCGTATCATAGTTTGAGAACCTCTGTTGTAGATGGATCGAATTTGAACGAATTTCGACGGAAACGACTTACAGATACAACTTACGGTATAGTTTGATACAGTGAGATTGCCACGAAATGTTATTTGATATAGCTTACTGCCAACAAAAAATCTATTTTTTATCCTTAAATTGTTTTCCCATTCTTATAAATTAAAACAAGAACACTATTGCTTATCGGTTAGATATTTAATTCATCGTTTTTGTTTATTTCTCTGTTCACCCGGCGAAAAGCGATCGCGATAGCTCTGGTTCGGCAATCATAAAACAACAGGTGCCACATTGTTCTTAAGTACAACGATACAACGATCGATGATAATGTATCGCATATACTGTTGTAGTTAGAAAGACGAATAATAAATATTAATCATTTTACCGTTAATATGTTATAAAATCATCGTAAAACGCACTGCTCGCCATACGCCCACGCTTCGCTCTCGGCGCAGTGCACCATAAAACTTTTGTTAAAACCCTATTGCTATATCTATAACGTATATTATAGTATAGGTACACGCAACATCGCGTGGGTACCTGTTGTGCAGAGACGATCATCGGGTAAAAGCGAAACAGTCGGATGCGCTCGAAAGGAAAAACTCGGAAACTTTCTTCGGAATTATAATATAATATTATACATTATCTCGGTTATCGTCATACCCGTTAACTCGGCGGCAGTGGAGGCGGTGCGTGCTATGACGGCGATATTATATATTATTATTATATATCCGCTGCAACACGGTAATGATATTATTATAATATCGGTATGACGCGTATCATATACTTTGGCGATTTGCTGGCTTACTGCCCACTGTACCGGTGAGTGTAGCCGCGGTCGCATTCGTCTGCTGCAGATATCCGCCTGTCCCCGTCGAACCGTCATCGGTATTGAAGTAATAATAATAAAATATTCGGACCGGAGCGAGCAACAACCACTGATACCGACGCATACCGTCCGCGAACATATTGATTTCATCGGTAAAATACGTATTACTCGTATCGACAACCCGTCCAAACGGTGGCGGCCGTGATGACCGTACTAGGGGTCTGCCTGGCTCCGCTGATGATATTCGTTGGTTTCGCGCAGTGCGTCCTGTTCTCCGACGGACAGTCCACCGGCGGATTGGACGTCGACGGAGGAGGCCGCGTTGGAGGTAGTGTCGGCGACGGCGGTGGAGGTAGCGAAGACGACCACCACCCGCACACCCCGACGATCAGCACAGCGGTCAAGAGCTGCTTGGCTGGGGCCGACCCGTTCCTGCCGTGTATCAACGAGCAAGCCATGGCCGCCATCGAACAGACGGAATCCATGGACTCGGTGCTCCTGGACTCGGGACTGGAGATTTCCAGACGTCCCAGCACAGACGCTTTCGCCGCTCCACGGGGAGTCTATTCGTTGGGTAAGCCTGCACTTTGCCTTACATCTATACCCTCCCAGGTTAATACCCCCTCCCTCCACAATCATCCACATCTCCGGCCACTCAGCCTAAAATCTTAAATGGAATTTGACTTTAAACTCGGCACACTGGTCTGCGGTATTAAAACAATTAAGCTGCAAACGGAAAAAAATCGATTTCATCCAAGGGGTTGCCAAAACGACCGGTATCGTCCGAGTTTGTAGATTTACGAGACAAATCCTACGTACCGTAACAACATTCTTCACGTCCGCTTATAAGTATTTAGGGATACACCAAAATCAAAAGTCATATTATCATCGCACCACTGGGATCGCTAATGGCTAATATTTTATACATTCCATCGATTTGAAAACGTATTCAATTACATATTATTATATATGCGTGTTGATCATTCGTTTTTGAGACTTTTATAACAAAAAATTGTTGAAGGGGTACATCTCGTGTTAGGTTATTGTATCCACCGAGGAGGTATACGTAAAGTCCGGCTATTGTAGCCGCCGTGGACACCGCCCTCGGGCCTTGACCGAGCGATGAACGTTTCGAAGGTTGCAATAGGTTGTTACGATAATTAATAATTACATACTCCGTCGTGTTTTAGAAACCCATGTCGGTAAAGGGGCTATTTTTACCGTTTTAATGTTTTCCAAAATACATATTTTACGAGGCGCACACGCCTAAAATGTATTTGTTGTAGTATTTATTATTAAACCTGTCGAGGCTAACGTCCACGACTACCATCTCTAACTGGTATAAGTTATTACGTTTCATGAACCCGTAATACCTACGTATTATTATTTATAATTTATTAGTTTTATTTTAGGCACGACACCGAGTATATTGTACCTTTCTTTATTATTCTCAGTAAAAGTATCATACGGCTTATTTATATAATAATATGTGTACTCTTTTTTATTAAAATAAAATAATTTGTATTTCGTTTTCTAAACCGAATAAGAGACGTGTACGTATGTACATACGGAATTCGTTTGAATGACATAGGTATAGTATTTATTAGTGAAGCTAGAGAGGGATGAAGGGCTGAACACCTACTGACATTTTTTTTATTTGTTCTCGTGTTAGTCGTATTACAGGCAAATAAATGTTAAAAAAAAATCTTTTCAGAGAATAGGAATGGGTGCTTAGCATTTTAGGTAGACTATTTCTATGAGCGCGCTTCTGACTTCGCATCTGACCCTCGAATTGGATCCCGTGAAATTTTCTTTTGAAAAAGTTTCTCGGATTGTCTCCCGACTTCAAAAATATAATTCAGTTGAATTGCCTCCTATTTTAGGCAATGAACCTCTTGTACTGGAATCGGCTCCGATAGCTATAATTAATCGATTTATAACCACCCTAAATTATAGGAAATATTAATAAATTAAATAAATTTAGTAAATTGAGTCAATGTCGATTGATTTAATATCAATTAAGGTTAATTATTTATAATTATAAAGTAGACAGACACAGAAGTAATAACAAAATATAATAAATAATCAACGAATATAATCTAAAAAACATAGGTTATAAAATAAAAATGCATGTTGTATCTCGGGATAGTTTCCGAGGTTTAAATTTTTTTGCCATTACTTTTAAATATTGCAATTTGAGAACTTCTTTTGTGTTTGATTTATCAATTAAATTATTAATAAATTTATTTTATTTTTTGTTGTTGTCATAATTGTTTTGGTTTCCATTTTGAAAAATCCTATTAATATTATTTATTCAAACTGCATTAATCATGAGTTAATGACAAATAAGAATTACCTTTACTATAAAATGATTCACAAGCTTTGTGCACTGGATTTCGTTTCAGCACACATTTTCGAGGAGAAAGATGAATCTTCATAATCATGAATGTAATTTGTAACCAAAAAACCAAACATTTTGATAACGGTTGCACTAATAAACTGGCCTTGTTGAACTGATGATGATGGCTTAATCTTTATAACTGATGATCTGCGATTGACAATATTATTGTATTTGACTAATTAATCAGTATGGAAAATACTGTATGTATTAGAAAAAAATATTTTTCAACACGGAATTCGATATAATAATCGATAGTACACGTACAACTATAGATATAATAATTAATTATCTTGGTACTATGCTAAAGTAAAGCAATTGGAGTATACTGTTTGTGAAATTTGAGTGAAAAAAATAGGTCACCTACCTACTAAATTTGGGAAGAAATTCAAGTGTCACTTCCTATGAAATAACAAAAAAAAAACATCTTTGTAAAACCAAAACATTCTTCCCTTAGCTCGGAATCTAAGACAGTAACATTTCTGATGGTTAGTACGGAATTGGGGTGAAACATGATATTATAATTCAAAAGTTTAAGCGAGGGCTGTAGCCCACGTCTTAATCTCCATAATTATAATCCAAATTGCGTCTATACGTACGTCGAGTGTGAATATTACTATATGTATAACGATCGAATACAGATCCATACCTATTACTGTTATTTTCAAAAGGTATAGTATGTATCACTATTTAAGATAATAATATTATACTCCAGGTTATTCGGTAGGTTCTGTATAGAAATTGGTCTCAAGGGCGATGCGCCCTGTTTATCGCCAAAAATGAATTTTTCAGCATGCTAGGAAAAATTACAACTCTCTGTGTAACTATAATATTTATTATAAACAAACTATAATATCATGAAAATATAGATTATTTAACTTCATTAACTTCTGTTTGGACACAGATGCCCTTTTCACGGACCGTAATCGAAGAGAAACACAGATGAGCACCAAAAGAAATTATCTGTCGGCTAATCCGTATAATATTATCTTAAGCCGTAGTGGGTATTCAATAAAACTATAATAATTATGCTTTGATCAGGTTTTAGAACAAAATAAAATAATACACTAACCAACTATTTTTAAATTTTAAACTCATAGGTATGTTGTAACACGAGTATTATTGTCGCTCCAGGTATTAAAATTCTTAAAAAATATTTTATGACTTACAGCACATCAAATTTATTGATACATTTATACATAATATAATATAAAATATGATTTTGACACACTTATCGCTAATAAACTCTTAATTATACGCATGTGAAGGATGAAGTCTATTAAACGAAACAAATCTACATAGTTTATTATTATTATTTACTATCAATACTATCCCATCTAAATAATTATGCATAATATTATACTGTGTAGACATCAATTTACAGATACTTATCTTTAGGTCTGTTCGAACGGAAAATTTTTTGAGGAATCGAAGAATATCCAAACGTTTTACTTGGATGGATTATTTAATTTTTTCTTAGTTAATATCGTGAAAGCCGTGAATGAAAATTGAAAATAAAACTTAAATTCATAAATAATTTGGCTCGATGACAATTTAGAACATATTATTCTATGAATCCGTGACGAACAATGCACTATAAAGACTCTGTATTATATACAGTTTTTTTCCATCATTTAAATCTAAAATAATAAGACTACACTACACACAACAATATTACAACTGTCGTTTGTCAAAGCGAGCTAAGCTAGTCGAGTATAAACACCATTATTATGCACGCAATTTTAATATACTGTAACTAATTAAATAAGCAATTTGTAATATAACGGATCGACGTATTTCAGATAATATATTTATTTAAATTACAATATGTATTTGATATCTGCCCTACCTTTAAAAAAAAATTCAAAACGGTTAATCGTCCTCTATTTATAAAATTTTACACGAAATAATATGTGTTATCCGTGCACATAGAATAATAATAATTGTAATAATAGTGCGCAGAACTAGCATCGATTTCGAGTTTAAAATTATTACAAATTACAATGCAGCTCGGACACGCATTTGCCAGAGTGGTCTGTCCAAATTCCTAACCAGTAGCCTATAATATTATAGTACGTCGCTATATTTTGTATTCATGTAACTAAATTTTACATGGCACAATTATTATTATGTACGCGTTTTAATAACAATAATTCTGTTATTATAATACCACGCGATTGTATTCGAAAGACTTTATTGAATAAGTATACGTGAAACATGTACATTTCTTCATTAATAATTTACTTATCAATTTATTATGCAGATGGTTGACCTTATTGGAGGCTGTACGGTGTACAACGGGACATAATTAATTCAATATCGTACTACTATTGTACTAAACTGTTGTCTGGTGGTACTCAAACGGACGGATTCTAAGTGTAATAATTGTATAATATTATTAGCTGATCCCGTGCACTTTGTTGCCTGTTGAAAATGCCAACTCTTTTTGAGACTCGATGGTGGTAATGCAAGCAGTATATTATTATGCTTAGCTGTTGCGGATTGCGGACGCCGCCGCTTTATGTAAATAATATGTTTTATTTTGATTGCGGACAAGCCGATGTGCGGCTATAAGTGCGACCTTGGTAGACAATGTGCGAAAATTCAATTGTATGCATGCTTATACCTGATCTGCCCGATGAACCACTTCATACAACCAATAAACAAAAACAAATACAAATCCCTACTAAATATATTTATATTTCTTTTATAACCAATAGCAACCTAATAATAAATAATAAATAAATAATATTTAATTAATAATATAATTCCTCCGTAAATCTTAAAATCCCGGTTTGAACAACTCCCCGGGTAGGACCTATCCGGGTCTAATTGTGAATCTAAACTATCCAGACGTCACCCAAACGCACACAAAAAAATTAATTCAAATCGGTCCAGCCACTTACTAGGATATCAGTGACATACACACGTACAGTAGAATTTAACACATAAAGATATGTGTATAAATCTACATAAATTGATAATAATATTATTGGAATTAATTTATGATCACCATGGTAACATATTTATAATATTATCTAAAATTGAGTGATATTTATCGGTAATAGTATTTAATTGATTCATATTGTACACATATCACATATCACATATCAGCTAAGATTTTGGTGACTTTTGCAGTTTTTTTCCCTAAGTGTTGTGCAATTCTAACCAAAAACTAAAATTGTTTCGTAATATAACAATTTAAAATATGTAATTTTTATCACATTTTTTGTGTTAAATGTATTTTATTGCATTTTTAAGGTCATTTTTACGTAATATTACAAATGTTACGTTTATTTTGTGTATTTAAACTAATTTTTGTTTATTTTAAGCTTTTTAAATATGTGTTGTAAATGTTAGCCCCAATTAGTACCTATAGGTAATTACCTACTCTAGTCCATTGATATTTAAAAAGTAATATAATTAATTGTCGATTTATCCGATAAGATTAAATATCGAACGAACCCATAAATATTTAGGTATACAATAGAAGCTTTAGTGGTGAATTCGACACGTACCTATGTGGTTCTACCGATCTTAACTGTACAAAATGCCAACAATTAAGTCAACAGTAGAAAGCCGTTTACGTAGTTTTGTGAGCGATATTTTTTCTACGGACGGTATGGTGCTTTTTGTAAAGTTTGTAATGTTGTAGGTTATGATTACTATTATCGACCGAAAAATCGCGAAATCGTTAAATTTACGGCGATCTTAACATTTCAGTTAAAATTATGAGCGTCAGATATTATCATGCTTAATGTACAATGTCAGTACATCTGAGCCATTGTTGTTATTCAAGTATACAAAAATAATTGTAATTGATAAATTGAATGTACAATTTAGGGGCAATAATTTTGAAACTCAATTTCTAATAATTAAAGGTTTTTTTTAATTACGTAAAAACAATATTGATATATCTAATTTTGATAATTTCAACCATTCTAAGAAAATAGGCATTAATAATATTATCTTATCCTATATTTAATTTTTTTTATTGGTATTTTCTTTTTCTTTTGTTATGCCGTTTACTTAGCATGTTGCATTATGATTTTACGAAAACAATTATTTTATTTTTAATTTACTTTTAATATGAACTCATCAGATCATATTCGTAACCACGCATAATATTAAACAACAATATTGGATGAGCTTGCAACTTGTATGAAATACTTTTATGTTAGGATATTGCATTTATTTATCTTTGATGCAACAAATTATACATTATTCTTTTTATAAATCGGGAAATTAAAAATTGTTGATCATAACGTGACAAAATATTATTTTTTAATGTTTTTCATCATGTTTATTGTAGTGCCTTGTGTTTTTTACAGGCGATAACCCGTATAACGTCGGTGCAGTCATTGAAGCTGCGTCCTCGTTGCTTTCCAGGCGAACGTTTTGTTGGGACATGAGTCTCTTGTATCCCGGGCTGCAGATGCGAATCGGTCCCACGTACACCGGCAGAGGAATAATCGATTTCATCGTAGACCCCAGACGTAAATTCGACGACCGGAGTTTGGGCTATGGTATGTAAAATTGATATTGTTATACCATACGTTATTCCACCGTTCACTCGAGTAGGTACATAGTATAATAGTGATATTCATAATAATTACAACTGCATTGACGGGTTTGATAATAAAAAAATTTACTTTGATTTAAGATTAAAAAATTGAATTCTCGTTAGACGAAACTATTGATCAAAAGTAAAAACACAAAGTACATAGCATAATAATATTATTCCCACGCTTTTGTAAATTTCTTTCACAAATTGAATGACAAGTCAACGTTTTTATTTCTGGTATGTAAACAAAATTAATAGCAGTGAGGAATTTGACATTAAGTACTAGAATTTTTTTTAAATTATTGTTATCTTTCGATTACATTGATCGAATGTATTAATATAATAATTTCAAATGCATATAGTATAGTTTTGAATGTTTCTTTTAATGACAACATAAATATTAAAAACCGATTTTAAATTAAGTGAACCTACTTCTGGGGTTTCCCTGGCGTATATCCAATAGAGTCTATTGAATAGACTATACAGAATCAATAAAAATAATGAAGTCATGTCAAACCACTAGATATCGCTTTATGTATTGAAAATAAATCATCATGATATTTTTATTTTAACTGATTATACTTAATAGCCTTTACTTTAAGCATATTACTCAAATTTTAAAATAATTATAATCAATACCACTAACATGCTTAATTTTTTCAAGTTATTTTATTAATGACCGTATAATATTTATGAGTTCATTACTTGTATTAATATATTATGTTTTATAGCAATAACAAACGTATGTCAGTCCTTGAATCGTTGTTATACGTGTATTTTTTATACAAGACACTAAGATAGATTTATAAGTTATAAATTATAATTATAACAATAATAATTTATTATAAATTTACTCACTCAAATACTCAATATGATAATATTATTATAAGAATAATATGTATTAATCAGTATCCAGAAGTAACTATTTTAGTAAAGATATTAATTATAATTTTATGATTTTTTTTTATAATACATTGAAATGTCAGAATATTAGGCAAATACCTACCATGTAGAATTTTATACCCTAATTTATATATAAACTAAAGTTTCTATTTCAATTTTTGATAATGTTTATTCGTTTTCAAATGTTCTGTTGGTTCATTGAGTTTTATTGAACCGTTAAATGAATTAATTGTTTTTTCAATCTGGCATTAGTAATATGTAGATACGTCATCATTATTCATTAAAGATACTAGATGGAATATATAGATCAATCGGCCAAATTTTCGACTGTATGCAGCTGAAAAACCATTAGCTTATAAAAATCATCTATTTAATTAATGATAATGTTTTCATGTGAGCTGTATTTTTCAGGACACATGATATTCAAAAGATCATTTTTGCCAAACGTGTTGGCTACTCAAATAAGTATAGCTTCGGTTATTCCGATAATATTCGCTGCGATATATTTTCTGACAAAAAAAGCGTTCATATTGTCAAAGATTGCGTTAGTCGTCACCAGCGTGGTAAGCACCTAGCATAATACTCGTATATTATTATAAATTGTATTTTTATAATTTCGACGGAGACGGTAAAAATGACTGTAATTCGACTTTTTCGTTTTTGCAGGTAGGCTACGGGTCGTTGTTTTTACACCACACCAGCAAGCCTTTAGCAGGCCACTCGTTCGGTAGTCATCAACCGTTCGACGGCTTCAATCCGTTTGGCAGCTCATATCACAGTCCGGTAGGCGGTCTTCATCATCAACACCATCATCCGATCGGTGGCCCTCACAACGCGTTCGTCGGCGACATCAGGGGCGACAAGTTTTACGGGAGCTCAAGCGGATTTCAACAGATTTCCTCCTCCAAACCATCATCGCTGTTCCGCGGGGTCAATTACTTCCCCCAAGATGACGATCATACCAAGTACACGGAATCCGCAGACAGAAACAAAAAAGAAACGGAATAAATGTAGCTCTCACCAAAATATTGTGTTGACATAATATTGTTATGGTGCATAATATTATGTTTTAAGCACGCAAACGTTCGCTATTAAATGTATGAGATCACGGTTAAACACTTAAACGCACTTTGACTTAAGCCGTTTTGATGAATAGTTTTTTTTTTTTTTATTGGAATACTATTTAAATAATAGCATATAATATTGTATTTCCTACTAAAAATATTACATATTATATGAACTTTCAGAGTTTTCGAAAAAAAAAAATTACATTTTACTATAGTTCCTAAATTATATTCAATCGTTACAATTATGAAAAATAATTTTGTGTTAGTATATAATATATATAGTATATAAATTATAAATAATAGAATAACTGTTGTCCTTTTATGTTTTGTGAAATAAAACGATCTATGTTTATTATATAATATAATATTAGTTATTAATATATTACCTAATAGCTATAAGTGTATAACAACAATAGTTACTAAAAGAAAAATCATTTATAATTATTAAGCACCTTTTTAATTTTTAACTTAGTATATTTAATACTTTTTTTTATGAGTAGAGGGGCACATAAGGAGTGGAAATAATCGTCACCAATAACTGCGGTTGATGCTTAACATATAAATGATTGCGGCCAACTAGTGACACACAAGTTTTTGTGTTGCAACCTTATATCATTACCCTTACTTATGCATATTATAATAAACCAGAAAGTACAAGACAGATGCAATCCAATTTTCACGAAAACATCGAACTGTAATAATCGTATTGTATAATATATAACTCAAGTATGCAAAATCACCTTTTTAATATGATTGTTGACGGTGTTTTAATTTTGTACGACGAATTCGATAAAATATGTAACCATATTAACCAAAGGTAGGCATTGGAGACGACGAGTAGGTTCAATTTAAATATGTAAAATACGCCAACACACATCATTATATTATGGTTTCACTATCAAAATAATGACGTCACAACAGTATCTTAATATGACCGTTGCGGTATCGGACATCGTGAAGTGTGGTTGTCATTAGTGTGAGACAGAGTATAGGACAACGGGACCACCATGTCGCTAAGCGACACCTTTAAATCCACTCGAATAAGTACCTCACAGATCTTTTTCAAACTAAAATGCATAATATAGCGTACAATAGCATAATATAGGTTATGGCATGTGGGTAACAAATATGAAATATTATTGTAATATATAATCCCAAAGTATGTTCATGTTATATAATAACTTATAGTGCACTTACTATTTGTTATTGAAATGTGTACAAAAAACAACCTTAAAATGAATGGGTAACCAAAATATATTTGTTATTTATTAAATTCAAAAAACAATTATTATTTGCTGTCCAACAAAAAAATAACTACATGATTAGCTTTTTCATATTACAATATTAAAATATATGAACAAAATTATATTATCTAATTGCGTGAACCAAAGTAAACTACATAATATATTATTATATACTCTCAAAGATTTGTAAGCCTATAGTGGCGACGATAAGGTAGTAAGATGTATTTTTATACTAACTGAAAAAACTTCCCACATCGATTGACGCTGCAATATGAGCATACTTCATACATCAAAATATGTGATGAGTTAGACGCCCTTCGATGTTTCTATGGGATTTTGTCTTTCAGGCATAATAATATCTCTAATTATTGTTTTATAATTTTTAGTTTGTCGTTATATACACGTATAAAACACAAGATTATAATTTATTACATTTACTATTATTATTATTATTATTTGCTACCGAAATAAAAAAATATATGTACCTATACCAAAAACGATTTTGTCCACATATTTTTATCAGCTAAATGTCCAAATTATGAAAAAAATATGTGTACACCATCAAAGAGTTTGATACCTCACGATTTTTTCATCCTACTTCCGTATCGGATATATTATACTACCTAATAACATAATTTACACTTCACGATATGCGACTAACAGTGGTGGATTTAACGGAAGTTTACTTGGCAAACTCCTAATATAGTATTATTATTATAACGTCATACTAATATTATAATTAAGAACAATATTGGTAGAATATCATAATAATATTTTTAGATAACAAAATGCTATCTGGGATATGTATACTGGGCGGGGACAACTTCAATTGTAAAGTTAATTTTTTTTTAAATTTTAGGCGCAAAATAATAAATACATTATATATTGCAAGCTGCAGTATCATTTACCATTGTTAGGGTAGGTTAAGTTAACCCCTATTACGGATTGTTAATTTATTAAAATAAATATATATATATATATTAATTGAATCCTTAAATCCACCCCTGGCAACTAACTATGCGTCGCAAGACTAATGGGAATATCGGGCGTTGCTATACGTGTCGATTTGATCCCTGTAAGCCAACGCGTCGGCTGTGGTCATACTCGGTTGGAGGGCGTAGCTCCTGCGGTAACCGTTGTGCTGTTCGTTTCCACCCCCACCCCCTCCGCCGTTCCAGGAAGGGTGGACGCTGACTATGCCTGCTCCGCCGATACCACCGCTCAACAGCTTTTTTATGGCCATGGTTCCGGCCAGGAGTAGAGCGATTTTGGCTATAATCAGAGCTTTTATGGCTATCGATATTGCACCGCCCACCATCATCTTGTTGAACAGTCCGCCGATGATGGTCATGCCCATCGACGTGAATCCCATCATCAAGCCCATTTTGTGTTTTTTGTACTTAATGCCACCTTTTTTCTTACGACCTGTAATTGATTTTCCGAATTTATATTAAACGGTATATTATAATGGTCATCTTAACGATTATAATATTTATAGATATGTACATCAGTAGCATGTGGATCGTTCGACTAAAGCATACGAGAAGAGGGGGAAGATAAAACGTTATTGTTGCAAATATATAAATTAAAAAACAATTAAATGTAATTAATATTAAAAAAAAAATGGCCTTGTCGCCAAGAAATATAAATAATGGGCCTCACTACTGTTGGGTAGCTAATGTGTTTAATTATATTCCTTTATTTTATAGCAGTTGAAATTCTACTTAGTTGTACTGGTGAGACGGTACCTTCTAAAACGTCATCGGTCGATCCGTCATCTTCTTCCGGTTGGTATTGGATTTGCAGAGCGTTGAAAAAGTCCAAAAACCTCTCGACCAATTCTTGGCCCGCAGGATGTTGGCGGCGGTTACCGTTCGCGGTTACGGTCAGGTACCGGTTCAGCCGGTATGTCTCGTTCTTGTCCAATACTTCATCCATGGTTTTCTCCAATCGGCGTTCGAGGCACTCGTCCAAGTCCGTGGATCCGCAATCGTACAAGTCGGACAAGAAGTCTAGGTATCCGTCGACCCGGACGACGGTCGTGGCCGCGGCGGCCAACACGACAAACGCGTACTGCACACGCATGATGCACCAGTGGCATTAAGTCGGAGACCAGCCAGCCCCGTGATTTTATATACCGATTCGGTTGTCCGCTCATTTTTAATGATTGTCGTCAACATCACCGTAGTCATTATAATGTACATCACCGTCCTCAGAGGTAGATACGACGACGAATGAAAAAGATGTGTAACACGCACGGACTTGAACACGGTAACGAGGCGAGTGTTTAGATCAACTACGCGATAAGTACCACGATATTATTATTACTATTATTATTATAAAATATATATGTCGTCAGTGGTCGCGCTATGTACCTAAATAGCCTAGTATGATAAAATATTATACTATACGTGTTGTCGCGAGGAAGCTACGCAGGGTGTCGGCTGTAACAGATCGGTCGACCGTAGATACCTTGGTATAATATAGGTTTATAGCGGCAATAAAACGTTAGGGAACAATTATTATTATGCGGAAGATGAGATTATCGTAACAATAACATACATATAAAGGTTCTTAATTATTGTAAACGGTTATTCTACTTACCGTAAACGGTTTCGAATTGTTACAGTAAAAACGTAAACGTCGAACGGCTACCGAACATTATAACCGCGAGTTTAAGTCTCCGTTTGCGATATGGAACGGTTACGAAATTATCATCTCCCCCTCTCTATTTTGGGTTTTCCGGTCATTCAGACCATAACGCCAGACGAACTTTTCTCCAGTTCACCGTATCAACTGCCACAACTATCATCCACTGTATATCTGCAATTCTGCAGGAGCCATTTTTCACATCATGCTTACACAATATTCTCAGAATATTCTTCGTTTCTCAGTGCTCGCTTACTAATAGGCTTTTCTTTTATGGTTGTCCTTATTACTAATGATCATTGTTTTCCACACGTATTCTGGCAGACATAGTTCCTATTATTTTTGAGATTTCTTTAACATATTACAAACAGTTTTTAAAATAATCCATTCAGTTCATCATTATGTTTCGCCATTATCCGGTTTTGATATCAATAACACAGGGATCAAATCTCTAAACCCTAATTTCCTAAAAGGAATATGTCTGCATCTCAATTGTCACTGTGCATCAATGCCATAACATCTGTACTTTCAAGGTTCTTGATATAAACTGGAGTTCAGTTTATTTAATCAAGTCAAATGTAGCACCATGGCTTAAACATACAAGGTTATTGCAATAGTACCCCCGCTATATCATTTTATCACTTTAAGGAATTAAAATGGCAGCGTAAGGGGACGACGTATATTGGCTATATTATGATATTATATGCTATGATATGGACCGTACCCTTACGCTGTCATTTTATTTTTATTTGATAACAATTTGGCTATGTGCAATAACCTTGTATATTTAAGCCAAGTGTAGCACAATGTTACTGTTTTGTATTCTTGTATTGGTTTTCATTTTTAGGTAATTGTCATGAGTTAGAAGATGGCCCAACTATTTGAATTGCGTCACTCTCATAAATATAATTGTCCTTCAGAATGCATGGAATTTCGCTGTTGATATTATTTCACCAACCGATTTATTATAATATAATGTTCTTGTTTTTCATTTTCTGGTTGTAGATATACACACTTCAACCTTTTTGGCTGTCAACATAATAATATTTAAATATTTCACACATCTGTTATACCTCTATACTTAGGTATTTCCTTATAAATCTGTTTGATCTGCAAAAAGAGAGATGATTACGACAATATAATTACATTAATCACGTATTCGTCCGTCACAAAATTATTGAATAACAAACGGAATGATATGACGGGTAAAAACAAAAACGTACATTTGTATGTTGAACGGTTCGAGAATCATCATCATACCTACTACAAAATTTCGTATGCTAATAATTGTATGTCAATTTTTTTTCACCAAATGGTCTTTTGAGAGCAGCCGATCTTTGTGTAACAAATATTCGAGGACTTTGCATGAAACTAACACAATATTCGACCGAGAGTGTATCGGTATGTCCAGTCTCAGCGCATTACTATCATGGCGATAACAGGTCATAATATTGTAGTCGTGTGCGTGATAAACGAATTTAATATTGTATGGTATGTGTGCGTGCAAGTGTAATGATTTTTTGGTTAAAAAAAATAGGCTCCCGCGTATGCTTACATGGCTATACATTATACAGGTGCCTATACCTATAATATACGCGTTCAAGCGCATGTCAATGAATATAATATATAATATATTATATTGTTTGACAGCACAAAGCGCTTTAGATTTTTAGCATAAAAAGTATCTATGCGTTTTGCCCATCACAGCAGTGAAAGATTGACTAATCCCATTTTTTTTTTTTTACTAGATTCGAAGAAAATTGTTTTGATGTTAAATATAATATACAATATAGGTACTAATATATATATTTTTTTATTGGTATTTTTGAAGCCGTGGATGTATAAAAGCATTGGAAAAGCGCCAACGCAAAACTCAACCGTAAACCTGAGAATATTTCCCATTTTTAAATGTTTTGATTATAATAGTATAAATAGATATTTGTGGAATACAATATATTATTATTAGAAAAAATATATACAGCTATCAAGAACTAACCAAATATTGAAAAACCACAAAAAAGTTTGAAAACAAACTTTATTCTTCTGATTAATATTTAAATCACAGTTTCAAGTTATAATAAATTCGGTCACTAGATAGGTATCATAATTACAGTAGCGTGCGTCGTGCCTACTTATAGGTTATAATTATTAATGTTCCTATATTATTTTTATAAAGTAATATAGGTAAGTACGCGTGATGTATCAAGTAATTTGCAGAGAAAGTGTCTCATTTTATTTCGTGAAATATTGAACTTTATTAGAGTATAAAATATAGTCTTTATGTTACATTATTTTTAGTGATATAAAACAAATTTAAATAAGCTACTTAAATTATTTCAGTGCATCTAGTCATAATATGGCTTAATGTACATTGTGCAGTTAGTGTAACATTATAATTGTCTGTTTACATTACGGAACATTGTGTTATTTACATGACAAATAATTATTGATGTTAAGAAGACTCCACTCCCTCACGTTTTGTCTCCGTCCATAAAAAACATACAATATTGTATAACGATTCAATGTATTTCCTTGCAGAGGAGAACATAATATTTCCATACGGAATATTATTGAAATGAATATTGTTAACGTATGCGGCTTAGATATATTTAAAAAAAAAAACGATTAACAACAATATAATGTAAAAAAGAAAAAAATCATATTAATTCAAGCCGTCAAAACGCTACACGATAGACCGTGACGGTAAAATATTCTTCAACGCTGTACGCATAATATAATATTAAAGTAAGTTGAATATATATTTATATACATTAGCTATACCTACCACGTACACAACTATAGACGACCAAGTACCCGCCATAAGTACCTACGCCGTCGATGTGATTTCCGTGTAATATTACTGTAATCACTGCAGTGACGAATGGTGTCTAAATATTATGTTATTATTCTTCTTATTATTGTTATTGTTTCACACACGCAGTGTTGTCGTCACGAGGGGGCCACGAAACATAATAATTATTGCCGAACGGGCATAGAGTTTTACTGTCTTCACCGAAGTCTCGATGAATTCATTACGTTATTGTAATAATATTACAAGTATGTGCTCCTCCAACGGGACATTGTGCGCATAACACTGTTGCAGTGTACCATGGTTATGGGTAGGTAGGTACACTTAAGTGTACTGCACGGAAATTCGTTAACATTCATTAGACATGCACCGATGCCATGCGTTTGATTGTGAACAAAAAAAAAATAATAATGATATTATCACCGCGAATCGGTGCGAAATTAAAATATTATTTTTGTTCGAGATTTGTGTGGTATAGTATATAACATATATTATAACTGCAGCAGCAGGTAATTGATAAATGTTTTATCATATCAAATCCAATAATTGTTTTTTTACTGAACCCATAAAGTTTTATGAAATCAATTTAAAAAATTTAAATAGGACACAATTTATCTGTAGATAAAATGTACAATGAATTCTGCACTGCTGACCGCTAACTGGTCATTTCCATGATCAACCATTTTCAGGTGACCTCTTATCTATTACAGAATTCAGTTCAAATAAATTCTCTAGTGTTTTATACAAAATTTATTATATTATATTAGTATTTGGAACTAATTTTTCTTCTGTAACAAATTCCATAAAAGTACTGTAGGTAAATGATTAATATTTAACAAACTTAGTCCTTGTCCTTTTATCATGTTATTGGATTTTGTTCCCTGGTGGATAAATAAAACATAAAATACATTTGTAATATTTACTAAAACTGTTTATAAATTATATTATTATGTATTTATTTATTTATAAATATTTTAATATTATCCAATCAATAGGTATTGAGCGGGCTAGGGGAACTTTTAGGTTGACTGAGCTTTCCAAGCGACTTCCCGGACATATTTTGATTTTCCCCAATGCGATAACTTTCGATAAAAATCGATGTGGATTTGAGTTTGTTGACTTATTTACCGACACTAGCTGCACCAGCTTAAAATGATATAATATTATGGTATAGTATGTGGTTACACACTATATTATTACTAGGCAAGAACCACGACTGCAGCGTATAATTATGACAGTAAATGCAGTATATTATGCATTACCTACATACCCATTATTATTATTATTATATTATTATATTCAATTTAATGTTATGAGTTATGACTGTTTAACTGCTGTTATAGTATGATGACTATTAATTCGCTTAGTAATTACGTGCATACATAGACTATACCAGGGGTCACCAAACGACGGCCGGGGACGAACTTCATCTGACCCGCAGACAGGGCATTTATTTTTAAATTACTTTTCATGATGTTGAATCAAATGAGATTTAATTATTTAATTTTTTTGTTTCCAATTTACTTTCCATGGATAACGTCATGTAGTAGTAATTGTGTTTAACGCAATCGATAATCTATGTGTGTAATTTATTTTTTATTTATTCATGTTTGATAACAGGTAGTTTCGAGTTTCAAAAACGTACTTTAAACAATACAAATTTCCACAGTGAGAATCCGTTGAGGATATTGATTTTGAAAAAAAGAAACCTGCTATAATAATAGCTAGTGTGTGCGTATATGTGAGTACTACAATACGACTGGGTGCACAACGCCCGGTATCCAAACAGTGTATTATTATAATAATATATGTATCCCGAGCACAATATTCTTTTTTACTTCTCTTAAACAATAAACGTCGAAAATGCAGGCATTCATCTATGTATATAGTATAACAGCAGTGAGTGTTTATGCACAATACGGGCTTTTCTTATCACGCTTTAAATTATAATTATAGTAAGTATTTTATTTGCATAGTCGTTGTACATTTTATGAAGATTTGTTTCTTTTTTTAAACAATATATAGGTGGTGTACATCGTATATCGTTATAGTATTTTTTTAAAAAGCGGAGCCGGTATAGTAGTCTCGTATAATACGACCGCTTTATATCGCCAGTCTGGTTTAAGGAAAATCAGTAATAATAATAATAATAATAATAATAACAATAATTGTTGTATACTCTGATATTGTTCTTGTTTTTAGGTATTGTCTGCATCTCGCCCCGAGCTTTTATTCGTAGCTTGTTTCCGCGGTACACACTTGGTATTATCGATGCTGGTCTGTGTTTTTATGTCCATGAAATTTTGATGGTAGGTACCAATAACATATACCGTCTACGTAAATAATTGGCGTTGAAAAAATTTAAGAGTCTTGCTACTGATGGTTCGTGTACGGGTAATTTATAGAGACGTGTGTCATAGATATTATGTTATTATTGCTATTAATAAGCACATCTCTTTTGGAATGCGTAATTTCGTGTGGACAAAATAATTATCTAGGTATTTCAGCTCAGGTGGTTTCCATCTATTTAAAAAAATGAAAAAAAAACAATTTTCGAATAAAAGAGACATAAACGACTCTAGACGTGAGAAATTTATTGGAATAATAAACGATTTTATGCACATATCCACTGTTAAATCAAGCTGTCTTTATGACCATGACACGTCAAAACTCTGATACTAGAATCGGCGTTTCTCTTTCGCGAAATATGAAACTATAAATCAAAATATCTTTATTGAGCCCGGAGTCTTTAGATTTTTGAGTCAACATATATTGTTAAACAATGATCAGCGTAGATCAGTTTCAGAACAGTTTCACATAAAACATACGTCATACACTCATACATATTAATAAATAATAATATATTATCATGATAATTTTTATTATAATAATTATATGCTAATAATTATAAACGGCGATACATCTTAAAAAAAAAAAAATGCTGTTTATGCGTTAGACAAACTATCACAATTATTTTTGTTTATTATAATTTATAAGTAATATACAATCTGTATCAGTGACACAATAAGCATATAGGTTGAGAGTAAAAAAAACATGAGTGCATTTGAAAAAAGAAGCCACCCAATGGTAATACTTTCGATTTAGGAGCTCAACAATTATAATTATTCTAAACAAATACAAATGTAGATATTAACTGTAACTGTGTTTATATTGTAGTCATTTAAGTTATATTTGACTTTAAAAGTAGTCTACAGATTTACTAATAAAAAAAATTTACTTAATTGTATTTATCTCGTGAAAAATTTGGCAAATAATTGTTAACACGGATGTGTGAAGAAATTCTAATATTTATAAGGACAAATAATTATTTCATTCATTATAATACTATTTATTTTTAAACTAGTTTATATTTATTACCTACCTATCACGGATGTAATGTAAAAATACATTTTGTACTAATAATTAAATACAAATATTACAGTTTAAAAATAATAACTTATATATTAATAAGTAATTGTAAGACAGTATTAGCATAAATAATTTATGTAATTAATACTTATCTATTCACTAGTATCTATAGGTTTATTTTTTATTTTCATCAATAAGTATAATTACATAAACTGTCAAACGTAAATTTATACAATACATCTCCTATAACTCTAACACATATAAATTATATAAACGAAAATAGTTATAACAATATTCTTCCTTTACATTCAAATATTGTATGCGTAACATTAGTTCAATAATACATATTATGTAGGTACAAAAGCGATACATGGTACATCAAGAATCTAAAGATTGGAGGACAGTCAACCTAAAAATTAAAAATAATAAATTAAGCTAAAGAGTAGAAATAACTACTAGTATAAGTAAGAAAAGGTTTACACATATTTTCAAATTTATTGTGGTTGGTGCACTCATCCTCAAAATAGTGTGGTTCCCTGAAGGAAAATTAATTCAAACAACATTTAATTTAATAACAGTTCTTAATATAAGGTTTTTAAATATTTTTTGACCGCTTGAACTTCAATTTTCGCAGATTTGTCATTTACACATTAATTTTTAAATCATCTAACCTTACCTACTACCTATTGTATTATATTTATTTTATAACCATATGTCATATCGTTCACCCTAATGTGGGTAAACGATATAATGCAACATAATATAATATAATTTAGTGTTATAGAAGTTGTACTTTAAATTGACGTTCAACTGGACCCCTTTACCGGATGAAGTAATGTTTTCAAATATAAATGTATTACGAGGAATCGCTACGTTTGGCAAAAGACTCCAGTTGGTTTCTGTAGAGGAAACCCAGAGACGTGATCAACAGTGACGTCAGACTCAGCGAAATGGCTTTTCCTGTTAGAATTGCCAAGACTGGCAAGAACAAAATCAGCTTTACTCCTGCACCGAGCATTAAGGTTTGTATGTCCCATGGTTTTTTCTTCGATTTTGTGCTTTCTGAAAAGTCAACGAATAATTTTATTATAGTGTGACGTCATCGATGAACGAGTAAAAAATATAATTAACACCGGATTTTGTACAATGTTTTATTATTTTATTAAAATTATTCATCACCGTCACGACACCAAAAGGTTAAGAACTCAATTATGGATAGGTTTGGTTAGAATAAGTATAAAAAGGTGAGTGATACAAAGGCCAAACGTTTTGCCATTCGATAAACATTTCATTTCGATGTGAAACTTATAAGTCAACTCTCAATGCATTTTGAAAAAAAAAACAATTTATGTATTAACTCGTATTTGATTATTTGCAGTTTTTTGTTTGTATTAATTTTGTGCATGGATTAATCTAGTTGAGTACAAGCTCGTTTTTATTTATATGGCGGAAAATTTTTGTTAACCATTGCCGTCAATTATTGAAATTGATACAAAAAAAAAACATAAACTGTTTGTCCAAGGTGTCGATAATTCAAATAAAACTTAGAAAATTATAAAGAGTAACGAGATGTTAGAATACCTCCGATTTCGTTGTTATCGCCGAGTAGCGCACGTCTTGCTGAAATCCAAACCGACGAAAACACGTCGTGACATTCAAGCCGCGAAGTCTGGCGATCTTCGTCCAACCGATTCACCAAACACTCCAAAACTTTCGAAATCCTTGTGACCGCCGAATCTGAACTCTTCACAGCTGCCAAACCGTCTGCCACCGCCGGTCGATCTGAGTCCGTCGTCTGCAGATGATCTTTCGCAGCAGACGGGCTGGACGAGTCGGATATCCGGGCTATCGACAACACCGACAGAAGACAGCAAATATTAAGTTCGAATCGCATGTTGTCAGTTTTCAATCGGCTCCCCTGAACTGACCGGTCGTCTTCGACTGTGCTTGCTTTTTATATTCCCGTGCCAATCTACACACGTAAATACTGCGAATGAAGTTCAATCGCAGAGAGACGTACTATTACGACAAGTATTGACCGTAAACGTTTCGACCAATTGCTAGTTATGCTTATAATAATATTCTGCACGTTAATAATTATTGCCCATCATATTTGTCTCTCAATTGCACTAAACGATCGTTCTACTTAGATGACATACATATTGAACACGAATTATATTTAAAACTCTATTAGTATTTGACCGTATAACTATTGCATTGTTTCACTATATAAATCGTATATTTAAAACGATAGAAAATGAAACGAACATGTGGCCATAAACATATTATAATAACGTTATACCAATAGCTAGGTAGATTGTAGGTATAGTGAACACAATATCTAGACCAAATTTTGATTTTAAGTATTAAAATCTTTATGGTGGTTTTAAAAATACTATAAACGATATTAAGAAGTAATTTACGACAACCATCGCGCGCAGGGATTACCACAAAATATATTTTATGCAGTGTTTTGAGTAGTATTTGTTATTCTTCAAAAACAATATTATCATCTAATTCGCGTTGTTTTCATTTACACCGATTGTAGATATTGCCACGAATTTCCCACGAATAAAACGCTCCAAACCATTTCAGTATTAAACACGCGTATGCAATTATAATAACATAATGTACGACGACCGTAGTCGTCAATTATTATGTTCGATTGAGCACTGCAGAAAATTCAAATGACAGCAGCGTTGATCTACAAAAATCCTGAAAATATTCCTGGTATACGGTATATACGGTATACCTACACGATATTATTTGGTGTACAACACCGAGCCCATACGTGTTTTTTCGCATATTTATTGTTATAGACTCATGCTGCAGCGCATACTATCAAAGCCCAGAGGTATTTAAACAACGGCAATCAGGATCATCTCGACACACTTTTGTAACAATGCTTAAACACTTTTCATAATAACGAATAATAACGGCCCGTTTATTGACTTTGCATGCCATTGTTGCTCACGCCAAAATCTCGAGCCATTATACAAATTCCGGACGTCTTAGACAATGTGTACGTGCGTGGCTTGTCTTCTCCGATGCTCCATAGGTTGGAGAGTTTTTCAGGGAAAAAAATAACGCTTTCAGTTTTCATTTTAAACTAGGCATGTGCAATTATGTTTATAGGTACCTATACACTGTGGACAATTTCTACGGTTCTCGTATATACCGAACCAATTATAATGTCTCTGCTACATCATTATTATTTTTAATTAACGCCAGTTTATTGCAGATCGGGCGGAGACCTTTACATTTCCCGGTATTCATATTGGAAACCAAAATCATGATTGAAATCAATACTTAAAGTTAGCAGACGAAAAACTATTTCGGGATATTAAATATCAAAATAACTTATTACTTTATCTACAACTGGTTTTTCCATTTCATAATGTGTATTGTAACATAGGGGCATGTGTGACACTCGTCATGTAAATATTATTAGACAAATATGCTATTTTCTTATGAGTTACATGTTGAGTTTACAAAGATTTGATTCGTTTATTATATGGATTGTGTCACATTATTCAAAATATTTACAATATTCGACAAACATGAAGCTTAACCAAAAACGTAATATAAAATATCATGTATATCTCAAACATAATAACATATTTAAGAATATTAAAAACAGTAGAATAACTATAAATGTATACATGTCTCCGAAAACTTAATTACCTATATAGTGCGTACTATAATATGTAGTGAAAATGTTAGAGCAAAATACAGGGTGATTCAAAATGTATGTTACAGCAAATTTATCATATGAATCCTATTCGAAACCGTGAAAAAATATTATTCAAAAGTTTTTTGACTTAGAAACATTTTGATTGTATAATTTTATAATTGTTTTCAATATTTTAAGGGGGTTTTGAGGGGTAAACTTAAGAAATTCAAATAGCAACCTATACTTTTTTTGCAAACATAACGTGAAGACATTTTTTAAATAAATATTAGTGCACGAATAACTTTAATTAATGAAAAATTCTATGCTTGAGATTTATTTATAAAAAGTATAGGCGTCCATTTGAACTTCTAAAGTTGAACCCTCAAAACTCTCCTAAAATATTGTAAACAATTATAAAATTATGAAGTCATAATAGATTTTTCTAAATCAAAAAAACTTTTGTTTATTATATTTTTCACTATTTCGAATATTTATATGATAAAAAAGCCTTAAAATAAATGTTGAATTACCTTGTTTGAGTTCTACTATCACCTAATCGTGGATGTAAAGGTGACGGCATTAATTGATTCAGTGTAAAATATAAAATACATCTCATATTATTAACATTGACTAGGTATAGGTAACCATAAAATACTATACCTATACAACTGTGGTACAAAATGAGGGACCTATGCCGAATCAAACAATTAATGGGCTTTGTTAGGGGTTAATAGGCTATTGTTGCATCATCATAGAACATAAAATGCTTTACAAAATAAATAGGTGTTGTCACTTATTTGTGATGATAAAATCTATAACTGCACCAACACATTTTATACTATAATACATTCAAATGGTTATGTACGATTCAAAACAAAATTATCTCATATTATAACCACTTATGAATTAAAAAAAAAAATCTATTTAACGGGGTGAGCCACTGATGCTGACAGCCCCTCAAAAAATAAGATTGTTTAATGAAATGAACGAATGAGCGGCTGGTCGAGTTATTGGTCGAGTCGTAAATAACTAAACTAACCTATAGGTAGGTACTATCAGGAAACGTGTTAATAACGATGTCACGATGGTATGGCGAGCGATTAAAAATACGTCTCGAGAGTGTCCATCGTCGTCTATGGCCAGATTGGCAGTCCGTTGTTCAGTGATCAGCCAGTCAGTGACAATAGAAAAGAGATTAATAATAATAATAATGAAAACACAATTTTAAAAAAGCACACTCCTCTCATCCTTACCGGACACGCCACGCAACGTACCCACCACCGTTCACGTGTATAATAGACACACGTAAATGTATAATATTATATTGTATTGTATTACCTACAATCCATTTAATTACAACGACACAATATTAGAATCGCGTGTACCACAGTGTACAATGAGAATATTAATAATATATGCACACGCGGTGGCGTCGTCGCGGTTTTCGTGAAAGATTTTAGCCGCTCTCGGAGATCGCCGGCACACAGCCCTCCCCCCTGCCCCCCAGCCACATCACAAGGACGCCTGGGTCGACGGAACCCGCGGTGTAATGCGTATATCATCAATACGATTTTCGTCGTCGGGAAAATCGTCGGCTCAAGTAGAGCGCTTTTCATTATGACGTTTTATACGCTCTGTTACGACCGTCCCCATACCGCTTGACACTCGCCCGACCATATGCGTCTATACACGCGCACGCGCCTTCCCAAGGTAGTGGCGGCGGCGGCCGACTCATCACACTTACCTACCCGCGTTGCGTTCGGCCCCCTTTCCCCTCGTCCCGTCCCGTCCCCACCCCACAGCCGGACGGCGACGCCAATTTCGGTCGAATAAAACGAGCCACCGACGGCCGATCGTCGTTCAGTCGATACCGACCAACCGCCGCGGTTATTATATTTTTGGATCAACTGCAATAGGAAAACTGCACCGCCGCTTCCGTCTGCAGACATGGATACGACGCTACTATGGTAAATAATTATAATAATAATAAAAATAATATTACAACATAGGTAACTATACATAGGTGTTAGGTACTAAGCATTATAGGAATGAGTTACGACTAAGGTACGCTGACAACTTTACTCTCTGTCCGGCGGCAGCAATCAGGCTGCTTCTATTTGAACCGGCTGTTATTGAGCTCAAAAATCATTCCAGATTTGTTCAATTTTTAATACGGTGAAGTGCACCGGGAGCTGTCGTATGAATAATATCTTCTAAAAATATTGTATACTTTGAATATTACGAGTTGTGTCTATAACATAATATACACCTCTTAATACAGCTTTTATATTGCATCAGATATAAGGAATATTATCGTGTATCGAGATTTAAATGTTTTGTTTATGTCCTCAAAATTACTTGAGTGTGAAGTTAAATCTTAGTTCTAATATTCAATTAGGATACTGTGAAACTATTTTTAAGATATAATATAATGTGAAACGACATGGCCAGATTTTCCGATTTTTAGCTATCACGTATGGTAAAAAGAATATTTTCTTGCGGTTTCTTTCGTCGACTAACTTTGTAGATACATAAACGTTTTAGTAACTATAATTATCATTAACCATTGTCACAAAGCATACTTTTGTAGGATCTTTGAAAGCATTCGAACGCCACTTAATATTTCAAACATTGATTCTATTCGGATGTATTTATTTTGAATTTCGTATTAGAAATGTCATAAAACACCAACTAGTTAGAACCGATAAATCGTCTAAAGTTAAGAATCTAAAATGTATACAGTGTTGGGTTTTGGTTATGATCATATTTAATTAAATTTACATCTAAAATTACGTTGATATTATGAAAACTGCTCGTCTTAGTTATATATTATTTGTTGTGTTCAGATTGTGCAAATAATTTGATATTGAATTTGAGATTTTTGAATTGAGCTTATCCAAAAATGGTTTACAATATTTGCTCAAATATTTTAGATTTTAAAATGTTCCAATTTAATAATATAAGTGCCATGCCTTAATAATGAAATAAAAGTTTTATTCTCACATATTTGTGTATACAAACAAAGTGAATAGATTCCCGTAAATTTAAGAGCGATAATTCAATCTCAATAAACTACTGTCTAAATAAGTCAGCTTTTTTTAACAACGGGTTTGTTTTAATAATAAGAAGATTCAACCGCATAAAAGAGTTAACATTCTAAGAGAGGAGACATAATAGTTAATTTAATGTTTTTATTTAAGAAATCCGTTTTTAATTATTGTAAAATAGATTAAAGAAGATCCAAGCTTGTAGACAGTCTAGTAATATGAAAACGTATTAAAATAAATATTACT